TGCCTAGCATGGATCTGGTTGTCCCCCTGCCAACAGCACTGAATCATCAGCCCAATGGGCATCTTGCCTCCTCCCCTGACGGTGTACAGAGATCTGAGGGTCTTGTAAGAGCGTAGGTGTTAAAGGCTTTGAGCCTCGGGGTACTGTTAGTATTATCCGACTCCTGCAGCTTGTATTTCCAACATCTGGTAGTAAAACCAAGAAAGGAGATAGGAAAAAAGATTCACAAACCAGCTGTGGCTGGGATCTCTAGAGGAAATGCTTGTTTTCAGCTTTTCCTACAACCTTCGCATCTCTGTCCTGCCTCTCCAGTAGTTCCCATGAGCACCCAGCAGCTCCAGGCCAGGGAAATGTGCTGAGAGGCATGGTGAGATGAGGTGGTTGTGGTCCGCCTGCAACCCTGTAATAAAGATGCAGGGAAAACAGAGATCACAGGGCAGTCCCCGGGAGCAAGACAGTCACTGTTTGCAGGTGGGATTTCTTTTCTCTTCTTTTGTCCCATATTTGAATTTTCTGCAAGAAGTTATATTTCTTATGTAATTTTTAATGGTATTTGTGTTTAAATGGGAGCAAGGGGATGGTGGTTTGGGCCACAGAACGGGGTGGTTGTCGGTACCAAGAAAGAGGAGCAGTTGATTTCTGTTGGGCGAGAGGAGGCGCTGGGACCGCAGGACCCTAGCTCCCCTGCTCAGGCCCTGGAGGAGGAGGATTTAGGTTTTATTTACCATCTAGATGTCATAGCTTTTTCCCACATTTGCCGGCCCCTGGGGCCAGAGGTCCCTCAGCACACTGCAGCACGCCATTTCACTGACATCTCGAGAACTGGAGCCCCCAGAAGGTCTGACTGCACTCTGGTCACTGCTTAGCAGTCCAGTGCAGGGGTTGGGCTGGGAAGTCCTCCGTCCTGTCCCTCTGCTTGTGCTCCAGAGGGCAGAGAGGACTGAGTAGCAAATCAGCAGAAGCAGACTGATGCAAGCCGTAGCACGGGCCCGTGCTGCCCTGTTGGGCCCTTGGTTCGCTGACTCAGTGACCGCCCCTGACTTTCAGAGTCTCTCCTGAGAACCACAGTGCGGGTAGGAGGTGGAGATGGGCAGCACCTATGAGAAATCAGTACCCAGAGTCCCATGGGCCCCTCCCCTTCTGTGCAGCCCGCTTAGCCTCAGATGTCTGATATGTTTAGCCTCCTGTGTGTGCAATAGGCTGAAAATAAGTGCAGGCCAGCGAGCATTCAGACAAGTGGCGGTGGAAGCTGGCAGGACATTTCCTCTTGTTAGGGTGGGTGTTATGCACTGTTTCAGAGGGTCCAGTGAATGACAATGAAACTGTTGCCCAGAAGTAAAATAAAATCCTGGAAGAATAAGTGTGTGGAGGGACAGTAAATAAGATGTTAAGCCCTATCGGGCCTATTTGGGTCATAAGAATTTGCCAGAAGAAAGGGAGAAGGGCCTCCTCCCTCTCGAAGTGTCTGAACCTTCAAAGCCCATGTGGTACTAGCTGACTTTTGAGCCCTACTCAGGGAGTGTTTGGTGCGTGCACGCTTGAGAGTGGAATATATTCTCCCAACTCCATAAGGGGATGTGGCTGCTCTTTATCCCCAGGGAAGATGCCCGTTGGCTTGGAACTTACTTCCTACTCCGAAAGTAACAAATATCAGTGGCAAAGTTACCACTGCGCTTTCCCAAAATGCTTGGGGACCTCCCTCTTGGGAGACAGCACAAGATCTCCCTTGCTTGAGGGGTAACAGAGCCTTTTAAAAAGAAACAAGAGGGGCGCCTGGGTGGCGCAGTCGGTTAAGCGTCCAACTTCAGCCAGGTCACGATCTCGTGGTTCGTGAGTTCGAGCCCCGCGTTGGGCTCTGGGCTGATGGCTCAGAGCCTGGAGCCTGTTTCCGATTCTGTGTCTCCCTCTCTCTCTGCCCCTCCCCCGTTCATGCTGTGTCTCTCTCTGTCCCAAAAATAAATAAACGTTGAAAAAAAATTAAAAAAAAAAAAAAAGAAACAAGAGTGGTCGGGTTTGGGTTTTGGCTTTTTGTTTGTTTTTTGTTTTTCCACATGGAAGAAGGTCTATCGCTATTTTCTTTTCCTTTGACCTCTTTAAAAAGCAGCCGGAGTTGCAACAGCTCCGCTGAAACTATAGGACCTTTTGCTTCAAGGACTTTGAAACGAGCATTGTTGATTTTCCCTTTTCCTGTCAACCTCTGTCCCATTTCCCTGGTGTTTTACATTTGTTGTCTGGATGATTTTAAATACAGTAGCGCTTAGTCTAGAAGGCCTTTGACGTTCCCTGTGGCCTGAGCTGTAGGTACGTATTCTTTCTGGAAATAAGTAAGTAAACAGGATTTAGAGCAGAAGCAGACCGGCTTTGGTGTCAGCAGAGGGGGGACTCCACGAGGCCCCGAAGCACGGCAGCCTCTGCTGTGCAAACAAGGCTTCTGCCTGGTGTGGAAACATCCGTGTCCCCACCAGGCAGACCCCGGTGTGAGTCAGGCACTGTCCAGGATTGGAGTGTCTGTTTGTTATCCAAAGGATATAAAAGGAAATCAAACATTCTTCGTATCATGATAAGCCCTGTGCAAACACAACCCATGGACAAAGCCCTTTCCCTGGCTGCCTGCCTTTCCGCAGTCAGAGCAGGGCTGGGCTGAAAGTGGTGTAATGTGAGCTGTTGCGATTTTGCTTTCTTGGGCCCAAATTTTACAGGTGTCATGGGACACAGAGTTCACCACGCGAAAGTTGAATCAGGACCCCATCGGGAGCCCTCAGCAAATGCCACGTCCGGCAGGCTCAGGGTTCTGAAGCAGCCTGACAAAGCGGTTGTATCCAGCCACAGAAAAGTCATGTAGTGTGACCGCCTTTGTGCATGGGGATTAACTAGCCATAAATGCCAGCATCTAGACTCATCTTCCGGCATCTGATGCAATCAAAGAAAAGGCCTGAGCTCAGAATCAAGGATCTCCGTCTCACTTCCCTGAACAACACAGATATAACACTGCAGCTCCTGAATATTAACGAGGGGTTGGTTTCTTCAACCTAAACTACTTTGATCAATTAAACCCTGACCCTCCTGTTTTTCTGGTGACTCAAGTTCACTCCTGTTTTTCTGGTGACTCAAGTTCACTCGAGACTGTTCCACCTTCTAGAGCTGTGCCGTCCAGCACAGTAGCCACACGCCACACGTGGCTGTCGAGCCCTAGAGATGTGCCAAGTTCTGAATTGTGTTAAGTGCAAAATATGCCTCCAGTTTTGAAAATTTAGTGCCAAAAAAGTGAAATATCTCAATTATGTTTATATTAATTACATGTTGAATATATTTTGGGCCTATTGGGCTTAATTCAATATACTATTAAAATTAATTTCTGATGTTTCTTTTTACTTCCTTTAATGTGGCTACTGGAAATGGAAAAATCACATCTCTTGTTTGCACTGGACAGCGCAGGGCTGGCCCTTTGTAGAAAGTTTAGGTTTATAGCGCCATCTGCTGGTCCACCTAAAGCAGACGCTAACGTGAACAAGAATTAAGTGAATCTGAGCCGGAGGAGATACTTGGTCTCTTGGTCAAGCAACATGCAACCTTCCTTTTCTGAAACAGGACCAGAAATGAACCCTAACATCCCTGCACCATGAGTAAGAATCTCGGAGAGGGTAGTGGTAAGCTGTTGGAAGATTCAAGCCTGTGCATTTAACAGAATATAAGGAGGACACAGATCCATTCCTCCAGAGACTCATGTCCTCTCCTTATATAATGCTTATTTGCCTTTGTTTGTCAAGAGTTTAGAAGTTGGAATCTTGCTACCGACAGTATCTGCATCAGTTATCTGCGTAACAAACCACCCCCAGACTCCTTGGCTTAAATCATTTAGCTTCTCTCACCGTTTTCGTGGGTCAGGAACTCAGGAGTGGCCCATCTGAGCACTTCTAATTTGGGATACCTCATGAGGCTGAAGTCTGTGGCTGGGGCTTCCATATCTGAAGGTTCCTGGGGGCCTAGAGAAATCACATCCTGGGTGGTTCACCCACGTGACCGACAAGGCAATGCTGGTTGTTGGCTGGAGACCTCCATTCTTCTCCACATGGGCCTGGGCCCTCCACAGGGTGGCTTGAGAGTCTTTTAGGCATGGCAGCTGGTTTCCTCTGGAGAAAGCAGTCTAAGAAGCCTAGGAGGAAGCCGCAGCTCCTTTTATGACCTAGCCTCAAGCCACACACTGTTACTCCGGCTGCATTGTGGTGATCAAGAGGCAGGAACACGCATCCCGCCTCTTGATAGAGGAAGGTCAACATGCTGTGAAAGAGAATGTGAGATGGAATGACCATTAAATTTTTGGAAAATGGCCAAAGGGCCCAAATTGGTATAGCCTTGGGCAGCTCAAAAGCATGCCCCACTTTAAAATGAGGAAATTGAGACTCAGAGAAGTAAGGTAACTAGCCTGAGGTCTCATGGCTGGTAGAAAGACTAAAGCCCAGGTTTGAACTCTAGTCCACCAGGGTGGAGCCCATCTGAGTTCCCTCGCTGTACCTCCTTATGCTGTTATAACCGAAAAACCACACTGGTTGTTTCATCTTCCCAGCATCTTTGACGTGTGTGATGCTGTCCTCATTCAAATGTTTTAGATAATTCCTTCAATGATATCTGTCTGTAGATTGTTATTTTATTGAGCTGAGGCTCAATGGAAGTAGGTTTCAACTGACTGTAGAGTCTTTCGTAAAATTGCTGTAGCAGTGAAAAAGTACACATTTTCCGGTATCTTCCGTGCTGTTTGTTTCAAGAACCTCAGGAACAATAACCACATTATAATTTGTGTGTTCACGTGCTGTTTGACTCTAAATATTACATCTTACTTATATTTGAAACAAGAAATAATTAATCACTGCTTACTTTGAGTAGTTTCCATACTATTTGGTCCTCTTAAAAAGGAGGTTTGACCATTTTTTTGATGTTCCGCCAGCTGGAATTCAAACTAAAATACAGTTACCATAATCATATTCTGCTGTTCTCGGTTTCAGGTCAAACTTCCCTTTCCTGTAGATCAAATCACAGATCTTCCAAGGAATGATTTCCAGATGATGATTAAGATGCACAAGCTAACCTCAGAACAGTTAGAGTTCATTCACGACGTCCGACGGCGCAGCAAGAACCGCATCGCGGCCCAGCGCTGCCGCAAGAGGAAACTGGACTGTATTCAGAATTTAGAATGTGAAATCCGCAAATTGGTGAGTCGACCCGTTCACTGCTATCAGCAACCCGGAGTGACAAGGACTGGTGCAGAATTGCAGAAGTGAAGGCTGGAGAAGTGGAGAGAAGGATCACAATTTGGGGAAGTTTGGGTTTATTTTTAAGCAAGTTTCTCAACAAAAAAGAATAGCTTTCTATCTGCAGTTGTGTGTGTCTGTGCAGAGCTATAATCATGTTTCAGTATTTTATGTCCTTCAGCCATACACATAGAGGTAGTCCTTTCTTTTTTTCCATTCAGCATGGACTGGTCACTAACATTTATTGCATGCATGTGTGGGCCAGGTATTATTCTCAACTATTTTTGCAAATGATCACATTTAATCTTCACATCAACCCAATGACTTAGGTGCTATTTTATCTCCAGTTACAGAGGAGGAGAGGGGCGCAGAGAAGTGTGCTCACTCTCCACTATGTGGCAGAACTTGAACGCAAACCCTGTTGTCTGATTCCAAATCTAGACACCACTGCTTTCTCCTGCCTCGCACAGAAGAGTGTAGAATCCAGACAGGACACCACATGATCTCCTGAAGCCCCTCGCAGTCCCAGGGTCCTTGATTTTGTGATTCTGCCTCCAAGTGGCTGGCACCTCTTCCCTGTGCCTGAGACTATTTTATCTCAGGGAACAAGCTCCCATCTCCCAGGCTCCCCTCACTGGGAGCTCTGTGCCCCCTTCTCCTTTGTAAGCAAGCGTAAGCTTCAGGAGGTAACTCCAGGTGGCCTCTGGCTCCTTACTGTAGCTTTGAAGGCAACCAGTGCAACCTCATTTAGCTGGACCTTTCAGCTGGCCAAATACTGGAAACATCTTAGGTACTGTGCCTGTGTCAAGCTAAGGAAGAGAGAGACCACATGATGTGGTTATGATCTAAGTGTGGATCCTCAGACTCTATACACAGTAATCCTCTGTCTCATGGTAAGCCACTGTCCCAATGAGAACCTCAGAACAAGATAAGACATTTGAAAAGCATAAATAAATATTGACCTGTTATCAAGGACTTCAGGGTATTTTTTCTCTCTTTTTTAAATTAACGCCCAGGGTGCCTGGGTGGCTTAGTCAGTTAAGCATCCGACTCTTGGTTTTGGCTGAGGTCATTATCTCACAATTCATGAATTCAAGCCCCTCGTCAGGCTCCACGCTGACCATGTGGAACCTACGTGGGATTCTCTCTCTGTCTCTCTGCCCCTCCCCCACTATTGTGCACATTCTCTTTCTCTCAAATAAATTTTTTTTAATGTTTTATTTATTTTTGAGGGAGAGACAGAGCATGAGTGGGGGAAGGGCGGGGATAGAGGGAGACACAGAATCCGAAGCAGGCTCCAGGTTCTGAGCTGTCAGCCCAGAGCCTGACATGGGGCTCGAATTTGCAAACCATGAGATCATGACCTGAGCTGAAGTCAGACACTTAACCGACGGAGCCAGCCAGGTGCCCCTCAAATAAATAAATAAACTTTAAAATAAATAATAAAATAAAATAAATAAATTAACTCCCACCAAGCAGGGGAAATTTACTCATGTGCAGTGGTTAAGTCACCTACAAAATAAAGCTCAAGCTTCTTAGCAAGACATTGGTGCTTTCCAAGGTTCAGTCTGTAACTATCTCCAGCATCACCTTCCACTCCTATCCTTGAACTTGACCCCTAATAAAATCAAGCTCTTCACACTTCCTGCCATCTATGCTCGTACTTCCGTGTTTGTGCCTCTGCTGTCTCCCCTCTACCTTGGACGTTTCTCGACCATTTTCTTCTGTAATTTCATCCTTCATCCTTTGAGACTCACATTACTGCCACGTGTCTAGGAAACCCCTTCCCTGAGTCCAAGCTGAGGCTGGGCACTCACCCTGGAGCCCTGATCTGACCTCTGGCTTCATGCTTATCACCGCAGTCTTGCGTCGTCTGTGTGTGTCTGTCTCCCCAGCCCCCCACCCTAGGTGGTAGGTTCCTCACAACAAGGACAGTGACTGGATCACCTCTCAGTCTCCAGTGCAGGCCCGGTGAAGCCTTCAGGAAATGTCTATTGCCCTGAAATTTCTTTGAAATTGTGACCAGATTGTGGAATTATGAATTCCTTCTTTCTTTCAAACTTTTCTTGAATGTTGCTTTAACAACAACAAAAAATTGTATTTAAGCCACATAAGGGGGCAAGACATTGTTGGTGGTGAATATGGGTCTTCTGAAAGCCTACTGGGCTTAGGGAGGGACCCAGGCAAGGCTGAGCCTGCTCAGTACAACTTATCAGGACATTGGGCATATGTCCATGATCATTCAGCCCTGTGTAGAATGAGTCTCATCACCCATGTTTGAGAAACACCTGATTTTTGTAATTAGAGTTCTGTCCTTCCATGTACTTGTGTAATACCGAGCAAACAATAAAGTCTAAGCCACACACCAGGCAGATACCTAAAGCACTTTGCTTAATACTGTTCAGTTGAAAAATGGAGAGGGCACCTCCTACTTCTCCTCCCACATTTTTGGCTACTTCTTAAATAATATGCTACATTTTGCTGCCGCATGAGAGTTTCCTGTGCTCATCACTGTATATCTGTGACTTAGAGCTTCACGCTTGTAACCAGGGCCTTGATTTATACTGCCTTTCCTGCGAAGAGCCAAAACACGGTCACAGCAGCATTTCATTTTCTTCCCCTTAAAAGTGGCCCAGAACATTTTGCAGATTAGTAGGGGGTTGGTGGCTTGGCCAATATGATGTGGCAGGATCGAGACTGAGACACTCCTCCTGGGGCTGGGTGGTGTTGCCTCCCACTTTGCAGACCTCCAGGTCTTCCTGGCTGTCCAGGTTGCACAGCCACAAATGTAAGATATTTTCCACGAAGAGACTTCCTGGATGTTCTGTTTCCTATCCGGCACCCTCTAACTGCGGGGTCGTGCCTGCTCACCTAGTCTGGGTGGCAGGTACGGCACTGGCAGGCAGGGGCAGGCCAGTCTGCCCTGCCAGTCTCCCCCACTCCCCACCGCCATGCTGCCTCCGGCACGCCACTCAGCTTTTGCAAACTTGCATAATGTATTTCTCTCAACTTGCACTGGTACATCTGTTTATTTTTCATTTTTAAAACATGTTTTCTTGATAAATTTATAAATATTTTAGCAGGTGCCCTTTCCCCGTGTAAATCTCTGTCTCCTATACACATGCCCACGCTGCCTGCCAGATTGCATTCATGCTACAGCACGTACAGCTCCCATGTCAGAGCCCCCGTGTTGTATGTTTGCTTCTCTCCCCTGCTTTCTCTCTCTCTCACTCCCCCCCCCCCCCCCGCCTTCCATTTTCTCTCCCATCTGGTGGTGATGTCCAGTTTCCTCATCTCTTTCACTGTGTGTGCCTCCTGGAACCTTTGCATCTTCTCTCCTCACGCAGATAGTTCGGGTGAAACTTTAACCAGTCTCCCCTCTGGTGGTGAAATTCATCTCTCTGATGGGATGATGAATTTTAGTAACACAAGAGCTTGTGTGGGATTTTCTTTGAGGACAGCATCTCAGAACCATGGGCTAGTCTGCTAGGGCTCAGTCACCACGCCTCTGTCTGCCCTTCCCATGTCACAGTCCCCACCTGTACTAAAGAGGATCTGTTGTGTTCAGTCTGTATGCTGCAAAGGCCAGAAGGCCTGTTGTTTGATGGAACCGTATGAAATTGCCAATGGTTGATTTTCGTTGATTTTTCATCAGTTTTTTTTTTTATGAGACTTTCCTTTTTAGAGAAGTTTTTGGTTCACAGCACAATTGAATGCTCCTGCCCCCTGCCCCTATACACTCATCACCACCAGCCCTCCTTATCAACATCTCCCACCAGAGTAGTGCATTTGTTACAATTGAGGAACCTATTTTGACACATCATAATCACCCAAGTCCATAATTTACATCAGGACTCATTCTTGGTGTTGTATATTCTATAGATTGGGACAAATGTATCCACCATGACTATATCATTGAGTAAAATCACTGCCCTAAAAATCCTCTGTGCTTCACCCGTTCATCCTTCTCCCTCCCCCAGCCCCTGGCAACCACTGGCCTTTTTACCATCTCCATAGCTTTGCCTTCTTCCAAAATGTCATAAAGTTGGAATTGGCCATTTCTGACCTTCAGAAATGGCAAACCTAACACATTTGGGGGAGATTTTTTTTAACTCCAAAGTTTGGGGCTGAGGGTTTTCCAAATGATTCTCTAAAAACCCCCAAATCCAGGAAACCAGAACTTTGACTCCCTGTAGTTTTCTGGTTGGTGGTGATTTTGCTGGCCACTTGGACAGACCCCAGAGAGGGATGAAGAGCTGCCACAGGGAAGGTGTGAGGCTTTCCAGCACATCTGGACATCTGGATAGGCTGCTCCGATAGGATACTTGAGCCCGGGCTCCTTAAATATACATTTTGTAGGTGCCTAGGTCCTGGCCTAGCCATTCACAAGTTACACTGCAATGCCAAATGCAAAAATAAAAGTTATTTTAAAAAATAAAAGTCTCAAAAAAAAAAAAAGCCCAGAAACCGGGCTTCTGTCCTCCCGTTCAGGCTTGATCAGGCCCCCTCTCTTCTCTCTGCTGTCCAGGTGTGTGAGAAAGAGAAGCTGTTGTCAGAGAGGAACCAGCTGAAAGCCTGCATGGGGGAGCTGCTGGACAACTTCTCCTGCCTTTCCCAGGAAGTGTGCCGCGACATCCAGAGCCCCGAGCAGATCCAGGCCCTGCACCGGTACTGCCCCGTCCTCAGACCCGTGGGCCTCCCCGCAGCCTCCAGTATTAACCCTGCGCCCTTGAGCGTGGAGCAGAACCTGGCCGCCTCCCAGTGCGCGGTGGGGGAAACCGCCCCCTGCTGCCTGGAGCCGGGAGCGGCTCCCCCCGGGCCCCCCTGGGTGCCTGGCAACACCTCGGAAAACTGTACTTCCGGGAGGAGGCCGGAAGGCGCTGACCCCGGAACCTTCTCGGAGAGAGGGCCTCCTCTTGAATCCAGGAGCCAGACGGTGACCGTGGATTTCTGCCAGGAGATGACCGATAAGTGTACGACCGACGAACAGCCCAGGAAAGATTACACCTAGTGACGCGGCCTGCCTCCCAGTTCTCAAGCCTCTCCCACCCAGGTGTTCTCCGGTCAGCCTGTGGTGCTGCTCATCTGTTGTCTGGAAGAACCGAGAAGGAATTTGGTGCACACTACAGCGTTCTTAGCAGCAATACTGTTTCTGAGTATTCCCTCCTCTCTTCAAGCGGGAGTGATATACAGTTCCCTTCACAATGGTGCTACCCCTTGCTCAGGCGAGGAAAGACGGGCGGTGCTGACGCTGCCTGTCTGTGGGTTAATTTCAGTCTCAACAGGGATAGACTAGAACACCTCTAGGACCCAACCACGGATTTTTTTTCTCAGTGGCCCATGTCACAAACCCTATCTCAGGAATTTCTTCTGAATGTTCAATTTTTTTCATTGAAGACAGCTTCTATACACATCAAAGTTTTATAGCTAGACTGTACATATTATATATATAATATATATATAAGATATATATATATCCATATGCAAAAGTCCTGCATGCCTCAATTTTCTCATCCTAAAACTGGAAAACTTCATTTCTCATTTATAAACAGGTTCCAACATTCCTCTTCTTTTGTCTCCGATGCTAGAACTAGTTTGGTAACTGTTAACATGGTCACTTTTCTTGCTTCACAGTTCAATTTCAATTTGTACTTATTTATGGAACAGAATTCAATGTTGGAAACTTCTTTTGAGGCTTTATTTCAGACCCTTTTTTTGTTTGTTTGGTTTGCTTTGGGCACCGTCAGATGGTGTCATCTGAGTGTTGTGGGTTGTTTTTTTGTTTTTGTTTTTCTTGCAGATACTGTACAGTCATGGTCAACTTTGCCACTTGCACTGAGTTTTGGGTCAAACCTATTTTCTTAAATGAAGTTGTTAACTTCGGTATAACTCGAGTATACTGTATATTCTTTGCTTTTAGTTTAAAAGTAAGACATTTTAGCTAATTAAAAAGCACTCAGGTGATAATTATGTAGGAAAAATAATCTTGCCAAATAATGAATTCATCCTAGGATGTGTAGACAATAATCTGCTTGAATATTTTTATATTTCACCTCCTCCCCACCTTTCCCAGAAGCAAAGTTTAAATGCAGAGAGTTCAGAGTTGATGCTGGATGTTCAGACTCCTAAGTGGGGAGAGTTTGGACGTCCACTCAAAAGTGCATCCAAACAGCAGGAACCCATGATTTTGTACCAGAACTCAGCAGGCATTGGCTCCTAAAAATCAAGTTAGAACTATTTTCTCACCCAGGGGGCAAGTCCCATTCATTTCAACCCATCCTCAGGCTCCTGCCTGCCCGTGAAAGTGCAGTGCAGGAGGAATTTCTTGGAAGGATTTGTCTGATCAGCCACCCCACTCCCTTGCCCAGGCCCCAGCTCCCAGGACATCTCACCTGAGTGGGTTTGAATCACAGTGCCAGGCGTCCTGGGTTAATGCAGTTCACCCAGAGTAGGAGAGAGCAGGGCACATGTAAGCCTGGGGTCTGTCCCTAATACAGGCAAAAGCATTTCTTTCTCCCTCCCTTCTCCAAATGCTTTGAGTTGAATTCTGAGGTTTTTCTGCTCGTCTCTTGTCCAAAGGCAGATTTCATTCTGAGGCTTTGGATACAGTATGGCCAAGGAGCCCTCCCTATCCCCTTCCCCCACCACACACACACCTACCCTCACCTGATGATAATTTTCTTCTCTTGCTGCAAAACTGGTTGGCTTGCAACCCACAGAGAGCAGCTTCCCTTGGCTCTGGGGGCGTGCTGGCCCCTGGCCACGTTTACAGGAAGATGTGCCCAAGACCCTGCCGCCAGCCTAAGAGGAGGAGGAATCCGCTCCCTCCCTCCGGTCGGCCCTCCAGCCTGGCTGCAGGTAGAGTCCTGAAAGGTTTGATGTGGGGATGGGGTGGTGGGCAGTGGGGACTAGATGGTTGACTTTGTTTCTTTATTTGTGCCATTGTTTGGACAATATTAAAGCTGCATGTAAAAGGGGAAATTAGTATATGACGTAGGCGAAAAGTGAAATCATAGTAACATATGTTTTAGTATTATTAACTCTTTTCTGTACAAATATTAGCGCTAAATGTTTAAATATGTATGAATGCCAGAAATTTGTTGGTTCATGCGGTAGGATAAAAAAAAAAAAAGGCTTTTCTTTTAAAATAGTTCCGCTTTTAAAACCTGCCTCTGGGTTTTTGTTTTTTCTCGTGTGCGTGTGTATGTGTGTGTGCTAGTCTGAGTCAGATTTTGGTAAAGCTCAGCGTTGGAGCTGCCATTTTTATTATGGTTGTTGGAATTTCTTGGCCTAGTGGAACGGTTCTGTGCTTCACCGTGGGGTTTGCCTTTGTGGAAAACTGGTGACAGCTGGAATTTAAATTCAATGTGAATCATGTGATACATCACAGGTGATATACATCCACAGGTGTTAATGGTGGAGGAGTCAGCCAACAGTATTGTTTAACTCTCATGTTGCCTTTTTTAAGTGACCTCCTCTTCTTTTGAAAAACGAATGTTTTCTGCTAGTATCATAACCAGGTCCAAACAAGCTCGCTGGCATGACTTACCCTGGCGACAACTCATGTGCAACTGGTAGTCTTGACCACATTCCATCAGTCTCCCCGCTGTCTGTTGTTTGGTCCGTACACACACACCTGTGCCACGGCCATTTCCAGGTGGGGAGGGGTCTCCTTATTTCCCTCCACCCTAACTCAGCCCACATCCTCCTTCCACCCACCCCCGCCTCGCTTTTCTCCCCCTTCCCCAGTCAAACCCCTACAATGGGACTGGTTAAAAACACTGCTTGGAAAACTGTCTTTCCATTTCTTAGAGATTTTTAACAGGTTGTTATGATTTTGTTCACTATGTACCATAAACAGTGACTGGCTTTGTGCAATTGTCTTTGTGACTTGTCTTGTCTTTTACTACCCTGAACCATGTGTTCATCCAAATTGTTTCTGGGTTGATTCAAAGGGAGGACTAGTTGGGGACCAGAATCCAAATTGCCTCAAGTGGAGTTTTAAGAACCAGCCTGTCTCCTTTCCCTGGGATCCCTTAGTGAGGCCCATGTCTTTTATGAAAAAGAAAAGCAAGTTAATAGCAAAGAACAGTGTTTGCACAGCATGGTGGCATTTAATTGTGCTTTTAAGGGTCCTTCCTTACAAAAATAAAGGACCCTGCTGCCATGGCCTGCTTAGGAGGATCCCTGCCACAGCCGAGTTGGGTCTCCAAAAACGTAGGCGTGAGCCGTTGGGGCAGGAACAGTGGAGGTGGCCCTGTGGCTGGTTAACATCCGCCTGGATCTAGTCCTCCCCTTGGATCCACCTTTGTTCTACTTGTATGTCCAGACAACCTCACTTCATTCAGGTTGGTCAGGCTTTGGGCAGGTGAGTGCTTTGCTGTATGTGTTTGTTTCTCTGCGTTATCTGGGGGTGCCTTGAATAAAATCAAACTTCATTACATACTGATTCTGGAACAAAACAGTTGCGAAAACAAAACAAAAGAGCTGTCAAACTTACTAGGCCATCCTGCTATTTCTATTCCGGGTTCCCTACCAATGACTCAGGCGTCAGAGGTGATGCTGCAGTATAAAACATTATTTTGTATATTGTACAAGTAATTTATTAACTGTCTTTCTAAAAGTATGCTGCTTTTAAGATGCACTATGACTTTGGATTTAATCCTTGTATTGCTTTCCTGAGGAAGTAAAAAAAAAAGGTTAGTGATTAGAATGCCAGCTGCCACTTCTCCTTAAAAAGGAGGCCAGGGACCAGCTCTAGGACTTGCATGACAGAACCGCCAGACATCGAGTGGGCACAATGTGAAGTTCAAAGCTATTATCAAGAGGTCTAGGAGCGCCTGGCTGGCTCAGTCAGTAAAGCATGCGACTCTTGATCTCGGGGTTGTAAGTTTAAGCCCCGTGTTGGGTGTAGAGATTACTTAAAAAAATCTTCTAAGAAAAAAAAAGATCTATACCTACACTTTCTCTTTTAATATTTTATGATTGCCGTTAAAGAAGAAACAAAGGTGTATAAAGTATACACCTTTTAAGAAACTGCAAAGTCCCGTCCCTATGGGCCGCTCCACACCCTGTGGTAGCAGAACCCTCTCAGAGCGAGTAAGGCCTGCGAAGCGCTTTCAGACCCCACTTAGCTGGACCTCTACATTACACCCCATTTAAACTAGCAGCTGCTTAATAAATGACTTCAATCTGCTCCCCTACCGCTTACAGTCTTGAAGGAGTCGCAGACCTGGAAGGGAGCAAGAATCAAGTTTTGTCCTCAAATTACTGTAAATAGACTGAGGGACAGAATTTTTTTTTTTTTTTTTTTTAAGGAATAAAGCTGTTCACTCTATCATGAGTTAGTATCTCTTCCCAAAATTGAGGATCTTGTTGTAGGTGCAGTTTTTGGCGAGTCAGTCCACAGTGCCGTGCCCTATGTGGAGTTGGTTTTCGTGCAGGAAGTCTGTGTGCATAGAGGCAATCTGTGTTCAAGCTGTATGTTTCCAGTACCGCCCGAGCCATCTCCTGACCCAAGCATCAAGGACTGATGCTGTAGAATAGAATATATTTGTGCACAAATAGTGTGTGCAGATAGTATTTGTACATAGAAAGGACCTATCGTGGCAAATTGAGGATAAATTATTCAACTGACGGTGCAAACACATTTCTTGTGAAGAAAAGGAAGTGTATAGTATTTTCCTACACTCCACCCTGGGAGGTGATATTTATATCCAGTGAATATCCACGCATTTTAATCACAATATGAAAATGACGCTGCCGTTCTGTGAAGAATACCCCTTGGTTGCAGAGGCCCCACTTTGTAGCTTTGGTTTGATGTTGTGACATGGTGCATGCGTCTCGCTATCAAGCAATGGCTAAACAACTCTGACTTTCACTTCATTCCAGTTTACTGACCTCAGATAAAACAGTGGCCCTCCTTAGAAGCAGAAGTGCACCAAGACCATCCATTCAGTGCCAAGTGTTCCTGGGGGGGTTAATGGACACGTAGATGAGGAAAGAGGGAAGGGACTTGGACAAAGAGGGTTTTTCCTACCAATGATGCTAAGTCTCCTACCAAAACATGTCTGCAGGCAGAGGGGTGACCTCCACCTGGTCCTAACGATGCATTGGGTGCGTGTGAATGCTGGGATGCCGTCATTCACACTCTGACACAAGAGACCCGCCACTTCTAGTGAGTGAACAGGAACCTTCCAAATGCACTTGGGAACTTTGGGCTCTGGTTAGACACAGCCGTTCAAGGCAAGCACCACCTTTGCTTGTGAGGCCAAAAGGGCCTGGGAGAATTTGTTCCAGAACCAGTCTGATACAAGTGCACCTCTAATATATGCCTTACAAACTCCAGAGGCCATATTCAAAACAGGGTCTTCTCAGTGTATGCAAGGGGCCACAGCCCTTCTTCTCTTCCTCCCCAGGTCGAACAATACGGACAGTTTCACACATATCTACCTGTATAACCCTCTGTACCTCTCATAACTGCTCAACGACTGTAACAGGTTACATCAGGTGTTTTTCTACATACTTTTTACACAGATTCTATGCGATTAATGTAACTTAATTCAATGCATCATTTTATTGTACTAGTTCTTAGGCTTGTCTTTTTTTTTCTAAGTGATTGTGGTTTTTGTTGTGGTTTTTACTGTAAAAATGAAATGGCTGTTGATGCTTATTCTCTGTAACTAAGAATTTTTACCTTTTTTGGGGAAAAAAAAGCATTGCTATGAACTAATGAATTGAAACTTCATTTACTCATTGTAAATACACTATTGTGCAAAAAAAAAAAATTTCACTCAGTTGAATTGCTAGTGTTAACTGAATTTTGTCTCGACACCATTTCTGTTGATGAAATAAAGACATATCATTATGCATTGTAGGCTGGCTTTCTCTGCCCCTGAACCCTGTTACAGATCACAGGGCTGGAGGCCTTAGGAAATCTTTTCTCCCAGAGAAGCCATGTGACTTCCTCTAGTTTGGACCTTTACCTGCTACCTGATTAATATGATTAGAAATCTAAAACATGTGATACTGCTAAAGTGACTCCTCAGATCCCCAGTGCCTGTGAGAGTAGATAATAGGCATTAAATGCAATTTCCTGGTTTTGATGTTGTGGGTAGCTATGCAAAATGTCACCACTGGAGGGAGGCTGGGTGAAGGGTATTGTTTCCTACAAGGGCATGTGAATCTACAAGGATCTCAAAATAATAGGTTTATTTTAAAAGAAAAAGCTAAATGAAAGTCAGCCAAGAGAAAGGGGCATTAAACCAACACCAAGATACAATGATTAGCAAGACAGGGAGTTTAGAATTGTGGTTAAGGGAGTAAATACATTACAACTAGAAAAGTATATCTGATCATTTTGAATCTTGGATTTTGATATAAACAGAAAGCAAGGTATTGAATGGAGGGCAGGCCAGATGACCATGAGCGACGCTGGCCTCACGTGTTCTGGCTAAGCTGTCAGGCCATAAATAATACGTTCTCATGATGTCTGAAGAGCGCCGTGCTGCTGAGATCTGAGCTTCAGGAAGTACATGGCCTTGCCCCATCCACCAGATGGGAAAACTGAAATTTAAGGTTACTGAATTCTACTCCCTGGGCACCCTACTGAGACAAGGAGGAAGGGATTCCAGGGAGCATATAATGGGGTTAGCAAATGTGTGCTGTTCTGAAAACAACACAGTTATAACATTTTAGGTGTGAAAGGTAAAATATAGTTATTTGCATGAAGACATGAAGTTATTTAATCCATTCTAGAAAAAGCAGGTGAATCTTTGTCTCAAAATTTGGTTAAGAAAACCTGGTCATTAAGCGGCGCCTGGATGTCTCCGTCAGTTAAGCCTCCGACTCTTGATTTCAGCTCAGGTCATGATCTCATGGTTCTTGAGATCAAACCCCATGTCGGGATTCACTGTGACAGCATGGAGCTTGCTTGGGATTCTCTCTCCCTCTCTCTCTGCCTCTCCCCCACCTCTAAAAATAAATAAATAAATAAACTTAAAACATGGTCATTTAGAACTGATGGCCACTTGTACCTTTGACCCTGATGTTTGCACTTGTGGCAGGAATGACCATCATAGTTGGAAATAGAATTAAAAAGCTATTGTGTGTTGCAGAAGGGAAGCATTTAAACACCATCCTGCCCCAAATGGGCAACAGCCATTATTTCCTTTCCTTTGAATGTGCACCTTTGAAGGGATTCATATCTACTTCCAGGGTACAATGAGGATTCTCAGATTGGCTACCCCTATACCAGTCCCTGCCAACAGTTTTGTTGTATCTGCTTGTAAATAACTAGGCTCTTCTTTCAAACAGTTCTACTTCTCCAGACCGTCACCCCTACCCCCTCAATTAGGATGCACTAGCAAGACTGTACTTGATGTTTGACATCAGCTTGTGATAGTGCCCAGAGTGGGATGGGTTTCCAATTCTCCCCATTGAGCAGCTTTGCTTTCCTGGTATAAATGAATGTGATACTTCTTGGTGTCAAAGAATCAAGGCCCAGAGAGATGGAAAAAGCCACTCATCCCACATCCCATGATGCAAGTGTCTTTCCTTTCATTTGTTTCAAGAACACGATACCTTCTGTTTTCACCACCTCTGACTCCTACAGATCCCAGCATATACCTGCCACTGGCCTGCTCAGTCAGCCAAAAAAAGCCATTACTGGTTCTTCATGGCTAGATTTTATTCTTCCCCTTTGAAGACCAGTGCATCCCTGAGGCAGTGATCCTCATCCTAAAGCAATAGATGGAAACCGTCAGAGACACATCAGCATTTACTGGTAGCATTACATTTTACACTGGTCCTTTAACTTTTTTTTTTTTTTCCTAAGTGGGCTTCATGCCCAGCGTGGAGCCCAACTTGGGGCTTGAACTCATGACCCTGAGATCAAGACCTGAGCTGAGATCAACAGTCAGATGCTTAACCAACTGAGCCACCCAGGTAGGTGCCCCTTTTTTTAAACCTCTATTTGTGCTGAACAGTTGATGACATTATAAAGGCTTCTGAGGGTAAAGGAAATTTAAATCAAAGAAAAAAAGTGCTGCCCTACAGACTCTTCTGAAAGAATCTCTCATAATAAACCTATTGACAGGACATGACAGAACACTAGTGAATAAGGAATAGACTGGAGAGTTTAAAGCGATGCGTACTATATTGTCTTTGGCATCTATACATAAACATACATTCATTCAACCAACACTACGCTGCATGCTGGGCATCCGAGACTTAAAATGCACAGGCCTTATCCTTGTAGCTTTCACAGGTTAGTTGGGCAGACGGATGTGCAAATAAATCATTGCCCGGGGGCTGCTGATTGTTATGGACAAGAGAGAGAACACGACTTTACAGCTTCCTGGAAGGAGTCCAGGCCTTGGAACAGCTGGACCTGGATCTGGGTTTCAATTCAGCTGCACTGCATGCACTTTAGCTGTGTGACCTTTAGCTGTGGGGCAAGTTACTTAGTCTCTTTGAGCCTTCTCTGGTTTATAAAGTGGGGGCAAACAATAACTTTGCACAGTTGTAGATAAAACAGGTATAGATAATGTGTCTTAAGCACCTGGAATATGGTATGCCCCTTAATGGTACCCACTTGGACTTGGCCCCAGCATCATTTTCATCCACCTGGTCTTCACTGGCTCTTCTACCAACTCACTGTGGAACAGATCATGCGTCTTCATATCTCCACGCCTCATTTCCACTTCTGCAAAGTATGGGGACAGAGAAGACTCAGAAGCCATTTGGGCTAGAAACACAGACCAGCCCCATCCAATGCTGGGCTCCCTTCTGCAATATCCCAGGCAGTTACCCAATGTATTACGGTTCTCCAGAGAGACAGAACCAATAGTCTAATCTGTCTATCTAGTCTGTCTGTCTGTCTTTCTATCTATCTATCTATCTATCTATCTATCTATCTATCCATCCATCCATCCATCCAATGGTCCCAACTGCCTCTGCTATGCCACTGCAGAGCTGGGGTGCTCTCTGCAGTGAGCAGGTCAACAAGCCCTATGAGGCTGCTGGATGGGGGAAGGATAGCCGCTCCTCAATCCTTCTCCCCTCAGAGTGGCAGCAGCTTTTACCCCTGGATTTTCTCTCAGGGTGCACACTTCCTCCCTGCCTAATCCTGCCAGAGATCAGACCTGCCTCAGGTAGTGAGGCCAAGTGGGGCAGTAAGAGGTTGATCCCAGCCCCATCAGGGAAGCGAGGTCTCCTGTGGAGGTGGGCCCAGGTGGGAGCACCCTGTACGCACCCATCGCCTGGCGGGTGTCTCTGTGGAGGGGATGGTTCCCACAATTCTTCTTGCAGTTTGAGCTAACAAAGGTGCAACTTTTCTCCTGCAGATGCTGGTTGGTCCTTGGTCCATTTTTCTGGCCCCAAGCATGAATTATTTTTTCATAATAGATGAAAGTTCTAGAAGCATGTTCTGAAAGAGGAAACAAGACAAATAAAACTAGACTCAAAGGGCTTGTAAAAGTCAGTCCTGAAAACCCACCTGGGACCCTGTATATGTCACAGATACCAGGGATCCAATCAAACCCTGTTGCAGAAGACAATTCTAGGTTGACCCAGAGATGAATGCCCACGTAAGAGCTTCTATTCCCAGAAACCTCTGATCCCACCTGCCATCTTCTTATTCTTCTCCGGTTGTTGTTTTTATCCAAAATCCAGGTCTAAAACTATAAGCCAACCTTTTCCAAAGCTCCATCTTTGCCCCTTTTACAATTAGCCAGATTTTTTACTTTGTAAAATGTGGAAAGTGATCCATTGTGGCATATTCTATTTTGCAGTAATCTATCCTTGATCCTAAAAATATGCTACACTTAGGCTCCCTTGTGCAGAAAGAGCAAGAAGTAGCAACAAAGTATAGAAGACGGAACTTGGGTTGAGTCAGACAGGCTTAGGATAAAATTCCAGGTCATTCACTCATCCAGTAAATATTAATTTATGTCCCTGCTATGTACGAAGGACTATGCTTCATCACATCCTAATTGTATGACTTTGGGCAAGTCATCTATTTCTGTATCCATAAAATGGAAATAATTACAGAAAGGAAGCCCACGGCAGTGTCTAGACCACCATCAGGCTCTTAATGAAGTGCGTATCTTTCCTCCTCTTCTTTAGATGCTTTGTTGATTGTTCTATAAAACTTCTCAGCCAGGGGCGCCTGGGTGGCTCAGTCGGTTAAGCTTCCGACTTTGGCTCAGATCACGATCTCACAGTCCATGAGTTCGAGCCCTGTGTCAGACTCTGCTGACAGCTCAGAGCCTGGAGCCTGCTTCAGATTCTATGTCTTCCTCTCTCTCTGCCCCTCCCCTACTCATGCTCTGTCTCTCTCTGTATCTCAAAACTGAATAAATGTTTTTTAAAAAAATTTTTTAAACTTCTCAGCCAAAGGGCTCAATAAATTAGTACAGTTCATCCTCAAAACATCCATCCAATAATCCTTGTTAATGCTGAGTCAAAAAAAAAGACCTTCTCTCTCTTTTTTAATGTTTATTTATTTTGAGAGAGAGAGAGCATGAGCAGGGGAGGGGCAGAGAGAGGGAAAGAGAGAATCCCATGCAGGCTCCATGCTCAGTGTGGAGCCTGACTCAGGGCTTGAGTTCATAACCACAAGATCATGACCTGAGCCGAAATCAAGAGTCAGATGCTTAACTGACTGAGCCACCCTAGCACCTCAAGACCTTCTGAAATGACACAAAGAACCTAGAAGTAATAGAGATTTTAGATTTAATATAATATTAAAAATTCAAAGATGCTATAAACAGGGATAAGAGACCAGGAGACTGGGAGAAAATCTTTCTATATATATACAAAGAGTTAACATAATATCATATAAGAGCTCCTAAAAATCAGAAGAAAAACAAATATCCCAACAGAAAAGATAGGAAAGGATCATTCTTGGTAGAAATACAGATGACCAATAAACATGAACAACCTGACCGGCAATTACAGATGTAAATTAAAATGAAGGGGAACATGTCTAGTTCATCAAATTGCAGGGGTGGGGGGGGAAGATAATGGCTGGTATGAACAAGAATGTGGGAAAAGAGGTACCAATGTACTGATAAGAAAATAAATTGGTGTGGTCCTTCCTAAGCAAAAATTTTCAGCATCTATCAAAATATAAAACATGTATGCCCATTAAAACCAACAATTCCACTTAAAGATATATGTATGAAACATTCACTGCAACATTGTATGCAGGAGAAAAAAAAGTTAGAATGGCTAACTGGCCATCAAGTGTCTTATGGCTCATTAATACCATACAAAAGCATGAAGTGATGTAAAACTGAGGTAGTTCTGGGGCACCTGGGTGGCTCAGTCAGTTAACAATCTGACTTTGGCTCAGGTCATGATCTCATGGTTCATGGGTTCGAGTCCCACATTGGGCCCTGCACTGATGGCTCAGAGCCTGCTTCAGATTCTCTGTCTCCCTCTCTCTGTCCCTCCCCTACTCATGCTGTCTCTCACACAAAAAAATAAGCATTAAAAAAAAAAAAAAAAAAAAAAAAAAAAACAGGCATTTTCACAAATCCTGACATGGGAAGATCCCTGTGATGTATCATCAACTGAGAAAAAGCAAATTGCAAAGACATCTCCACATCTCTACATGATCACATCTATATTTTAAAAATTAACATATATGTGTGGACATATATTTGTCCTCAAAGATGGATTATGAATACCTTGAGAAAGGTAGGGGTGTGTTCCCAAGCTGTTCACAGCAGTTTCCTTTAGGGAGAAGTGAGAACTGAATCTAGATGAGAAGAGATGAATCCTCACATGGTCAGGTTCCTATTTTATTCTCTATGTTCTTTTATATTGCTTTAATTTCTTTCAATGAGCATGTATTACTTAATTTGAAATACAACAAGTAAGAAAAAAACTGTTCTTCCATGCAAACCATAAATGATGGTACCCCTGGTCTGAGCCACATGCCTCTTTCACCTGGGTCATTGTGTAAGCCTCTAGCTGGCCTCCCTGATTGTACTCTTACCCCTTGTCTTAGTCTATTCAGGCTTCTATAACAAAATACCGTAGACAGGGTGGATTATTTATTTCCCACAGCTTTGGAGGCTGGGAAGCCCAAGATAAAGGTACTGACAGATTCACTATCTCGTAAAAACCCATTTCCTGGTTCATAGATAGCTGTCTTTTTTCTGTGTCCTCACATAGCAGATAGGATAAGGAACTCTCTGTGGCCCCTTTTATAAGGGCACTAATCCTAATCACGAGGGCTTTACCTTCATGACCTAATCACCTCCCAAAGACCCCACCTCCAAATACCATCATATTGGTGATTAAGTCTCAACATATGAATTGGGGGGGTGGGGGCACAAACATTCAGACCATAGCAGCCCTATAATAGACTCTCCAGAAAGTGTGTTTTTTAAAATGTATGTGTCAGATCACCACCACCCCTCTGCCATCCAACCCAGATTCCTTTCTGTGGCCTATAAAGCCCCATATATCAGCTCCTGACTGTTTCAACCTCACCCTTATCTCCCCCCTCCTTGATAATGGCCCAAGGGAACTCTGCAGGGCCTTGGCACAGCTGGCTCCATCAGTCATGCCAAGTCTTGAGGCGGGTGGTGCATCCCAGGCAGAAAGACCAAGAAGTGCAAGCATCCTCAGCTTTTGAAGCTACAAGAGAGCACTCTTTATCACTTGAATGCCCCGAAAATTGGAAAACTTCACAGGACAACCTTCTTCCTAATGCCAAAACCTCCCTCCTCTATAGCCATGGTTCTGAACTCTGGCTGCACACTGGAATCATCTAGGAGCTTAAAAAAATACTGGTGTCCAGGCTCCATCAGCAGAGATTCTCATGGGGGAAAATTTCAAAGCTTCCCTAGTGATTTTATGTGGAACTCAGCAAGAGAATTACTGCTCCATTGCATCTCTGCATTCAACAATGAGGAAACGTCTTGTTTTCAGAGGGTAGTATGGGTTCCTAAAACTCAGCCAGCCCTCCTCCCCAGGCTCACTTGGCCAGACCGGAAGTCTGCTTTCCATGCCCAGCTAAATCTATCCTCCAAAAACCAACCTTGACCAAAATTATTTAGCAATCAATGAGCTTGGACTTGAAGAAACTGTGGGGTTGGGTGAAAGTAAGGGAAATGTCAGAGCATAAAATCATGGCTCCTCCAAATGACTTTTGTAACCTTCTAAAATAGAATGCATTTCTATTGCAGGACAATTCCCTCTATGGGACACATCATAAGTGACAAAGCAACTGTGGTCCTACCAGAAGTCAGTTCGCTCTGAAATGTCAAAATGCATCTGACTGAGCCCTAAAAATTCTGCCATGTAGGACCTAAGACAGTGTAGAAAGCAGTTTACAGTCCATGTTTTGACCCTAGATGATTATAATCCTGTTTGCTGCACTAATTTCTAATTAAAGATCTCTCTGTTGGCAAGAAGCATGATGTGTCAGCCACAGTGCTCTGGAGTTGACAGCTGTGGCCTCAATCCCCAAGTCTTCCTGCCACTTGGGAAGTGAAGTCTCCTGTCAACCCTGTAAGAGGTCTGGGGGAAAGTTACCATAAGTAGTAAAGCTCTGTGTCCAAAGACATTATTTGTAATTCCCAGAAACATTAAAAAAACAAAAACAAAAAACAAAAACAAAGGGAAGAAAGTAGAAGACAAAAAAAGAAAGGGGCCTATCATCTTCATCATCTTTTCTCCAAACTCACAAAAATGGCTGGCCTCTCCCAAAAGATAATCTGAGAGATTAAGAAAATCTGTCTCTACTAAACACTACCTTGTCTCCCTCAATTCTCTGACAAAACAAATGCTCCTCTTACATGGAAGCAGGTACAAGAGAGGGAAAATGATTAAAACTGTATTGCTGACTTCACAAATGTAGGTAAGAAGCACGAGTCACTGGCAAGGTTACTCTAAAATAGTGGTTTTCAACACTGGCTGCACATTGCAATCACCATGAGAGTTTAAAAAATACTAATCCTAGGGGCACCTGACTGGCTCAGTGAGTAGAGCATGTGACTCTTGATCTTGGAATCAGTGTTTATATATATATATATATACATACATATATATACATATATATATACACACACATATATATGCATATACAGTACAACCTTGGTTTGCAAGCATAATTCATTCCAGAAACAAGCTTGTACTCCAAAGCACTTGTATATCAAAGTGAATTTCAAGAACCATTGGTTCAGTTGTGATCATGTGACATTCAGCATCACACACTACTCATATTGCAAGACATCACTTGTTTATCAAGTTAAAATTTATTGGAAATGTTTGCTCATCTTGTGGAACACTCACAGAACAAGTTACTCGCAATCCAAGGTCTTACTGTATACAGTTTACATATGTATACACACATATATATGTATATAGTTCACATATATATACATACATACATAAATACTGATCCTGCATCCCCCCCACCCCAGAGATTTTGGGTTAAATGGAATTGGATGGGTCCTGGGCATGACAATTTTTTAAAGCTCCCAGATGACTGTAACTCGTGGCCAGGGCTGAGAACCCTGCTGTAGTTTGTTATGGGGTTCCAAGTAGCCACACTCTGATCTTAAACACAGTCTCCTGGGGGCGCCTGGGTGGCTCAGTCGGTTAAGCGTCTGACTTCAGCTCAGGTCACGATCTCACGGTCCGTGAGTTCGAGCCCCGCGTCAGGCTCTGTGCTGACAGCTCAGAGCCTGGAGCCCGTTTCAGATTCTGTGTCTCCCTCTCTCTCTGCCCCTCCCCTGTTCATGCTCTGTCTCTGTCTCAAAAATAAATAAACGTTAAAAAAAAAATTTAAACATAGTCTCCTGAATAGATGGCCGGTCACTGCCAAGAAATGAATATCAGTTTGAAAGAAGTATTATAGGAAAACTCTGAGTAGGATGATGCCTCCTCAAGATATGGCTTTAGTGTGGTAAAAATATCTCTAAACTCACAGGATATATGAAATTGGGATAGAGATTCAATCATCATAGATTTAATCATTATCATTAACAGGAAAAAGCAAGTGTATAAGTTCAACCAAGTGAGCTCAACTAGGGGGATTTCTTTCTAATGGAAAAAAGCTATTATGGGGTGCTTGGGTGGCTGAGTCAGTTAAGTGCCTGACTTTGTCTCAGGTCATGATCTCACAGTCTGTGAGTTCAGGCCCCACATTGGGCTCTGTGCTGACAGCTCAGAGCCTGGAGCCTGCTTTGGATTCTGTCTTCCTCTCTCTTTGCCCCTCCCCTGCTCACTCGCTCGCTTGCTCTTGCTCTCACTCTCTCTCTCAAAAATAAACATTAAAAAAAAAAAAACTTTTAAAGCTATTAGGAGCAGTGGATAAAGCAAATGTCATTTTTTCTTTTTCCAGAACTGAGAAGAGTCCACAGCAAATATCCATTATGTCTTAACAATGGCCAGGAAATGCTTATTCCACACTGGCTTTTCAGAGAACAGAATTAAAATCAATACTATATTGATTTTAGTCTTTGTGAAATATAGCACCAAATATTCGTATATGACCTTTAAATGCCAGAGCTATTAAAACAATGGAGCACTCCCTCCTTCTTTAGCAAGACAAGGGCTGCTGAAGGTTACAAATGCTCTCTTTTGATCCATTTTCCACACTGTGATAGAAAGACCTTTCTAAAATGTAATGCTGATCCCTTAACTCCTCTGCTGCACACCCTCTATGGGTTCTCCATTGCCTTCCCACAAGGCCTCCATGACCCTTCTCCACCCTTCCCTCTCCATAGCCTTCCTACCACTCAGTGCTCCAGCCACATGTAGCTCCCCAGACATCCCTGCTGTGTCACGCCTCTCAGCCTTTGTCTATGCTGCTCCCTGTACTGGGATGTCCTTCTTTCATGCAGCCCAGTCCTCCTAGTTCTGGAGAAATTCACTACATCTTTCAAGACTCAATTCAAAAACAATAAAAAAAAAAAAAAGACTCAATTCAAAAGTAACTTCAACAATGAAGCTTTTCCTGACCCATTCATAAAGAATTGTCCACTCCTTCCTTTGCCTGCGCACTCCTTCTAACATGGCACCTTACACTTGATCACATTTATGTTTACCTGTATAACTTCCCCATCTAGACTCTGAGCCCTTTGATGGGAGAGACAGTATTTTATCCATTTATAAACCCAGCTCTTGCAAGACTGAATGATATAAAGTAAGTGTTCAGTAACTTTATTTCATGAACTGAATTTAACTGAATGTACTGAATGACTGGATTCAACTCTCTATAAATTAACCTCCCTCACCTCCTCTCCCTCTCTCTCAACACACACGTATACACACCAGGAAATTGGAAAGGGACGACTAAGAAGCAGCCAGAGTGGAACATCTCTTGTAATAGTTCTATGATCAGTCCTTACTTACCATTGATGTTCTATACCCAGTGGCAGAAGGCAGAAGCGAGGGACTATTTTCCCGGTGCAGAAGATCCAAGCAAGAGCTGTTCTGAGAACTGAAGCTTCTTGAGTCACTGTGCAACTGTCCCTTTTCAGACAGCAATCTGGACAGAAAGCTGGCCTTGCGACTGTCCAGGTGAGATCTGTCTGTCCAGACCCCACTCTCTCTCATGCTGCCATCGCTGTCTCTACAGTGACTGTGCAACTCTGTAAGAGGCTCTCCTGAGGGTCGTAGATCCTGGGACTGCTCCCAGGTTCCTATTGCATAGGATGGGCAATGTCTAGGAGCCATCTCTGTACCTAGCCAGGACTGGGACTTCACATTTTCTAGGCCAAATGAATGGCCTGGTTGCTGTCCCTGGTGCTGAATTAGAGTACTGTCATCCCAAGGACATGGGCTGTGGACATGGAGCTGTTCTCTGTGCTGATCCTTCTCAGTCCACTCTTTTTTAATACAGCAAGGGTCTACTTCAAGTTGCCTGGGCTGTAGGCTTTCACATGTGTTTTTAGACTTCAGCACATTGACTTGAAAGACTTGCTGTTGATTGTTGGCTTGAAGTAAAGAGATTCTTTTAGGCAAGGGAGAGCAAATCATACAAGGCTGGGCCACCGAATATTTTTTCAAATGGAATGGAGTGCCACTTTCATCCTCAATGTCCTCATTGCTGGATTTCTCATAAAGTGCCCTCATGATTTTCCTGATCCCCAGATGAGATATTTCCAGTACATTAAGGAACAAAGAGATGGCTGCAATGCTGTGCATAAAGAGCATGAAAATTGTCTTCTCTGTGGGCCTGGATACAAAGCAATCCACTGCATTAGGGCAAGGAGATTGAGTGCATTTGTAAAGGGGGTGCATTTGAAACCCATAGAGAACATACTGGCCTATCATGAACCCTACTTCCAGCACAGATCTCGTTAAGATGTGTAAGACATAAGTACGGAGCAGACATCCTTTCAGAGGGACTTTATGGATTCTCTTCTGCTCCTCCAATCTCTTCAGCTCTCTATCTATCCTTTGTTGCTCCTCCAATTCAAGCTCTGGATTCTCCATCCGGACTCTAAGGTGTGACTTTTTCCTCTGCCTCTCCTTTTCAAAGGCCCTGAGTCTATAAAGTGCATGGCCCATATACACCAGAGAAGGAGAAGACACAAAGATTATCTGTAAAACCCAGAACCTGATCAAAGAGATAGGGAAAGCATCATCATAACAGATATTGTTGCAACCTGGCTGCTGGGTGTTGCAGGCAAATGCTGACTGTTCATCATCCCAGACATCTTCAGCAGCCACACCCAGTACCAGCATTCGGAAAATGAAGAGAATGGTCAGCCAGATTTTCCCCACTATAGTTGAGTGGGAGTGAACTTCCTCTAGGATGTCACCCAGTAAATTCCAATCCCCCATGGTAAGAGATTAATGTCTGAAACATACAGAAAGTACTGAAGTTAATAGCACCCATGGATATAATGTATAAAGACACAGGCTCATTAATAAAGCAGGTTCTTTTTTCATGTCAGAAAAGCTATGAAGCATTTTCCAGCCCTAATTATTTATGGCCCATGCTTGATGAAATAGGATACTTCCAAGGAATATGATTTGGGAAGAAAAAAAAAACTCAAGACCCTGCACAATCTGATCCAATTTCCTGCCTATCCTTTCCTTCTCTCTGACAAAGTTGACTCATTCCATATATGCAATGGCCCTCATATTTGTACAATGCATTCCATCTCAAGTTTTGTTCATTTCTCTGCCCAGATGAGAGGCCCCACTAACCAGACATCCTACATGATCTTGCATGAGTCTCAACTTTTCCAAGAAGTTTTCCCTTGCCATCCCAAGTCAGAGTGGTTTTACCCGTTCCTAAATGCCCACACTATTTTTTATACCACTCATTTGGCACTGTGCCTAAAATGAGTTTTGTGAAGGCTGTGTCTTACATCCCTCATCTTGTACACTCTTTGCAGATAGGGACACATTCTATAGCATTTTGTTCTTTGCACACAGAAGGTATCAATAAATAATAGTGGGATGAATCATCTTTCCATTTTAAAACTCGGTTCCTTGACCTTATCACTGGAATAATCATCACACATACAACAAAAAAAAGTAAATCCTCATTATGTATTATATTATCCATGCTCCCACTGCAAGAAAACAAATCAGCCAAATATACCCGCTGGAACTGGCACAGGATAGCAGTAAAGATTAAGCAGACACAGAAACAGTACCAGACATGTGATAACATTCACAACGCCACATCTGGAACAGCATGTTTTCATGAAAGCTTTGCTAACTTAGAAGAAAAGTGAATATAAACTGCTTTTCTAGCAAGCTTGGATCCAGGAAAGAATTAAAGCAGAGCTGACATGAATAGGTTATTTGGTTTACCCTAAAAAAAAAATGTTTTTCAAAGTTCAATGAGATTAAAAAGTTAGATTAAAGGTTTCTAAGATGTAGAAGACTTCCCAATATGAAAGATATGAAGAAAAAACACGAAAAGTGTTATTAAGTTAAAAACCAATAATGAAAGAATTTTCTCTTCCATAATTCACCCATTCAATAATATTTACTAAATCTTACTATCATCTAGGCATTGTCCTAGATGCCAGGGAATTCAACAGTGAACAAGATATACCTGGTCCAGCCCTCACAGTATTTGGTCAGTAAGGAATCTCACTAACATAAAATGAACAAATCGTGAAAAGAATGGATGAATATCAACTCAAAAATACAAGAGATGGGGCGCCTGGGTGGTTCAGTCAGCTAAGGATCCACCTCTGATTTCAACCCAGGTCATAATATCACAGTTATGAGATCAAGCCCCACATCATTGGGCTCTGAGCTGGGTGTGGAGCCTGCTTGAGATTCTCTCTCTCCTTCTCCCTTTGCCCCTCCCCTGCTTGTGCTGTCTCTCTCTTTAAACACACACACACAACATGGAATCACTACATTTTCCCAATGTATCTCCCAAAAAAATAAATTCCAAGTGGAATAAAGTATTAAATGTAAAAACGCCAACCATAGGGGTGCCTGTGTGTCTGGCTCATTTGGTTAAGCACCCAACTCTTGGTTTAGGTTCAGGTCATGATCTCACAGTTCATGGGATTGAGCCCTGCATCGGGACAGACAGCACAGAGCTGGCTTGGGATACTCTCTCCCTCTCTCTGCCCCTACCCAACTCTCTCATCTCTCTGTCTCTCTCAAAATAAACATTAAAAAAATTTTTTTAAGTTAACCATATAAGTATTATAATAAAATATGAAAGAATGTTTTAGAATCTTGAAATAGAGGAAGTTTTTTTTAAGCACATCAATGCCAGAAATTATCATTGGAAAAAATTTTTAGATTTTACTCAGCAAAACTGAATGGCAAAACTGGAGCTGTCCCAGAAGGCATTTGGGTCTAGAAGACAATAAAAACAACAACAAAAAATACAAACTAAATGTAAACATTTGTGAATAATCACTGAATAGGTAGAGAGGAGATCACCCAGGGACAAGAAAAAGTGAGCCAATGACAAAACCCTGAAAAATAACATAGGAGAATACGTCTACAAATAAAATACAAATAAAATGAATACAAATAAAGTAAAAGTGAGAAATGGCCAAAGAAAGTTGGGGGGCAGGGGGAGATTATGAAAACAGAGAACCATCACTGAAACCAAAGGATAGAGTTTCAAGGAGAGACACAATGCCAAATACACATATACATACTCCTATTTATATGAATTAAATGTGGGATATACCATGCTCAGGGATTGGAAAGCTCAGTATTTGTAAAGCTGTCAGTTCTCCCCAAATGAATTGATTGATAGATTCAATGTGAGATTTTATATCAGATTAAAATAAAATCCTATAAATGTACATATATATGTATGCACATGTATATGGTGTGTGTGTATATATATATATATGTATATACACATATGTGTGTGTATATATATGTATATATATGTGTGTGTATATAGTAGATATATGTAGAAATATATATATATGACTTTGGACTATATGACTATATGACTACGGAGACTTTATGACTTTGAAAAAAATACAGGGCACACACCAGGAAGTTAATACAGGTTATTGGAGGTCTCTAGGAAGTGATGACAGTGGAGGGGGGTAGGGGAAAAAAAAAGGAAAAAGAATAAAGACTCTTCTTCTAAGCAAGTACAACTAATTTTTTATCCAAAGTAAACATTTATATAAATTTACCTGTATATGCATACATATATATAATTTCTTTTAATAAAATATAAATAGTAGATACCTCTCTGAATTTGGGAGGGGTATTAATGAGACTTTTATTTTACTCTATATGCTTGCGAATTGCTTGAAATTCAAAATTAAGAAGGTAGTTACATATACTACTTGTAAATAAAATATTAGATTTAAAAATTTTGGACTTATGCCTTATTAGCTGAAGCAACAATTTACTAAGTTCTATCCTCTCTTAAAGAGTTCAGGTGCTTTCTCATTATTTCTTTAAAAATCTACAGACATTATTCTTTTTTTCAAAAATTTTTAAATGTTTATTTTTGAGACAGAGCAGGAGTGGGGGAGGGGCAGAGAGAGAGACAGAATCCGAAGCAGGCTCCAGGCTCCAAGCTGTCAGCACAGAGCCCAACATGGGGCTTGAACCCACAACTGCAAGATTACGACCGGAGCTGAAGTCGGACACTCAACTGACTGAACCACCCAGGCGCCACTAGACATTATTCCTTATTAAAAATTAATTCCTGAGGAGCCTGGGTGGCTCAGTCAGTTAAACATCCGATTCTTGATTTCAGCTCAGGTCATAATCCCAGGGTCGGGGGATTGAGCCCCATGTCAGGCTCTGCACTGAGCATGGAACCTGCTTAAGATTCTCTTTCCCTCTGCCCCTCTCCCCCACTCGTGCACTCTCTCTTTCTCTCTCTAAAATAAAAAATAAAGATAAAAAATAATAATTCCTTTAGCACTTAAAAAAATATCTAGAGCTTCTATTTTATATAAAAACACTGAAATGGGAAAGTTAACTCAATTTGTTAAATTATCCTCTACTTGGCAGTCCTAACCTATTTAATGTTTCTATTGCCAGTATCCCTTTAAAACTTGGGAATTATTATCTTTAAATAACAAGTAAAGGAAAACTGGTCCAACATGGAAAACAGGAATACAATCATGCATATTGACATGCAAGAGCAAAATCCTTTAGACAAATATTCCTGTTTCCCAAAAGTAACTACTTTTTATCAATAATGAAAACAGGTCCTAGAAATATTCTTGAATTTTATTATCAAATACTAATTTAGCATCTCTCATGTAAAAACTGGTGTTCCTCTCCTGAATTTTATTTCAGATCTTATCTTTCTATCCCCACAGGGATTTCCTATATTTCTCATAAACAAGGAAGTCCACATATTTACCACTTACCTTATAGGTGGTCAAAAATAATAGTAACTGCTCACAGAACCTTAAAGTTGGACCGTGAGTGGCTAATTAGTGAAAAACTGCTGCTGGTTGCAGATATAAAGCGTCTAATCAGCTGGGTGTGGGGCAGGATCCAGAATGAGCACAGTAGTTTTGATCAATGGAGTCTAACCTAGTTCTCTCTAGAGGTCAAAATGTCCTCTGGGGCTTTGCAATTCTCTTGTGATATTTTCCTCTAATTGACCCCATGCCTGAGCCCCTCCTGGTATATCATATTTACAAATGAAAAGTGAAACAAATGAGAATTTTCCTATCTTTTTTGTGGATGATCACAGTGATTTGAGTTTTGGGTGCATTTCTTCCAACCAATTGGGAATCCATGTCATAGATCAATGGGTCACGTCCAATTTCATTCAACAGCTGCCTGGGATGAGTCTTGCCTCATGAAATGTGAACAAGTAAAAATGGAGTGACAATCAAGCCCAAAGTGTTCTTGCAAATCATGCTAGGCTGCAAGTAGTAACATCTCAAAAAGAGATCAATAAACCAGAGAGGGGGCTGTACATGTCTGTAGATTATGCGTGCTACCAATACTCTATTAGGCTGAAACAGGCAGCTCAGGATATCCCCACCGCCCCCCCAACCAACTCCAAGTGGATAATCTGAAAGCCTTAGAAAGCTCTGTCAGATTTTTTGGAGAAAGTATTTGAATTCCAGAGAGGTCAAATAACTTGCCCAATGTGGACAGAGATTAGGTCTCCTAATTCCCAGTCTTACATAACATCTACATTAGTCACATCTCAAGTACAGTCTTACTGCCATCTTAGAAGGGGTGACAGCAAGGGTGTTACTAGAACCCAATGGTGACTTCAAATCACAGCTCCTATGCACATTTCTGAGCCTGCTCTTTTCTGCTTAAATTTTGAAAGTATATAAAACTATTTAGGGTGGCTGGGTGGCTCAGTTGGTTAAGCATCCAACTTCAGCTCAGGTCATGATCTCACAGTTCGTGAGTTTGAGACCGACATCGGGCTGTCTGCTGCCAGCACACAGCCCACTTTGGATATACTGTCCTTCCCTCTCTCTGCCCCTCCCCCACTTGCTTGCTCTCTCAAAAATAAACATTTTTTAAAAACTATTAATAGTTCCTATCACCCGCCTATTCTATTTCACATATTTAGTTTTTAAAAAAGGATAATAAAGGCTAAACAGGTGAGGAGCTCAAATTTCCACTATATCGCACACTAGCCTCAAGTACAAATTGCCAGAATTAACTAGAGGCAAAAACACATGATGTATTAATATATGTATTTGTATAGTACTGGGCATACTGTCCCAAAAAGCCCTTGACATTTAATTCTAAAATTCACCTGAAGACTAATGAATGTAATACCTTTAATGCATTTTGTCAGAGTCAAACATTAAAATCATACATTATGCATTGAGTAATTCAGAATGGTACACAAGAAACTCCTATTAGTTGCCTCAAGGGAGGTAACTGAGTGACTGGGGAACAGGTGGGATGAATACTTTTACATTGAATCATCTGAACAGCAAATGCATTACCTAACTCAAGATAATAATGTTTAAACCAGAAAGTGAGGTTTAAAAAAACCAAAAAGCCCACAACCCTATGTTGATGTATTTAAAAATCTCCTGCAGGGGCACTTAGGGTGGCTCAGTCAGTTAAGAGTCTGACCTTTGCTTTCGACTCAGGTCATGATCTCACATTTGGTGAGTTGGAAGCCCACATGGGGCTCTGTGCTGACAGTGCAAAGCATGCTTGGGATTCTTTCTCTTCCTCTCTCTCTCTGCCCCTCCTCCACTCACTCTCTCAAAAATAAATTTTAAAATAAACTTAAAAAATAAAAATAAACTTTTCCCTGATAAAACAATCTGATCATTCTTGAAGAGTTTTAGCAAGCAGAGGATTGGCACAAAGTCAGCAACTCTCCCATATCCTCATAGTAATAATGTGAAATGTCCCCATGAGGTAATACTGCCCTGCACTGCTGCTGGGGGGGAGGAGCTCTACGCACTGCCTCATCCCCACCAGCCCAACGGCTCAGCAGGAATTAGCACACTAAAGGATGAGAATCAGTGCCATAGAGAACAAGTTTTGTTTTGTTTTTTCAAGTTCCAACTTTCTCTCTCACCAAAAGAGATGTTGAATCTATGAAGTCACTGGCAGGCCCAGGACACACTCAGAGAAACAGAAGGGAAAAGGAAGTTTAGAAAGAACAAACGTAACAGGATGGAGGAAGGCGCACCTGGAATGAGAGCTCCACTAGCTACCGCCTCCGTGCTAGTCAATGGTATCAATACTTTCCATGTCACTGCACTCACAGCTGGTGATATACACTCCCTAGGGCCACGAGGGGTTGTTGGTTTTCTGTAAGCAGCTGTAAAACATTAGAACTGGGAAGGCTGACATAATATCAGTGAACAGAAATTCCGAGTCATAGAGGGTAGCAGCAGCAGAAGAGGAAAGCTCATTTGTGTCAAGTCCTCATCTGCTGAGATTCAGAGGAACTTACAATAAGAAAATAAGAGATTCCCAGAAGAAAGTGTGAGAAATTATAGGAACTGGGTTAACCTATCAGGTTCCTAGCAGAGAATTTGGTGTTCCTCAGATAAAAGGTATTACCATGCCAAAAGATAACCACACCAATTACAGAAAAACAGAACTGCAAAATAAAAGGTCGAGGTGAGTGATTTTCAAAACACCGTAGGGGCGCCTGGCTGGCTCAGTAGGCAGAGCATGCAACTCTCAGTCTCGGGCCTATGCGTTCAAGTCCCGCATTGGGTGTGGAGATTACTTAAAAAATAAAATCTTTTTAAAAAAGTAAAATAAAGGTAGTTCTAAGAAGCATGAAATTAAATCCCACCTTCCACTTGGAAAAACATTCTACGACAGTGTCAACCTCACATTAATGAATATATGAAATTCATAGCTGACTGTCTCATATTTAGGAGACACCACAGCTTAATAAACATAGTAGTTCACTCTCACCACTTTCAGCAAGTCCTCTCCCAATCCCAGGATGTGTGCTCGTGAACATAATTTAACCTACTATCCTGGCCTTCAATTACATATCCTTATGGGAATTTGTTCTACAGATTTACCTGCACATGTATAAAATGATGTGTACAAAGTGATTCATTACAGTACTGCTGCATTTGCAGAAGATAAGAAATGCCAGAATGTCCATCAATAGGGAAATGGTTAAACACAATAAACTCTCATTTATTATTATTCTCCCACCCCCACTGCCCACAAGGGGTAATCCCTCCAGCAACCCTTTGTCCTCTATATTTAAGAGTCTCTTGTGTTTTGTCCCCCTCCCTGTTTTTATATTATTTTTGCTTCCCTTCCCTTACGTTCATCTGTTTTGTATCTTAAAGTCCTCATATAATATTTGTCTTTCTCTAATTTCACTTAGCATAATATCTTCTAGTTCCATGCATGTAGTTGCAAATGGCAAGATTTCATTCTTTTTGATTACTGAGTAATACTGAAGTAAATATATATCACATCTTCTTTATCCATTCATCCATCGACGAACATTTGGGCTCTTTCCATACTGTGGCTATTGTAGATAGTGCCGCTAAACATTGGGGTGAATGTGCCCCTTCGAAACAGCCTATCTGTATCCCTTGGGTAAATACCTAGTGGTGCAATTGCTGGGTCATATGGTAATTCTATTTTTAATTTCTTGAGGAACTACTATACTGTTTTCCAAGGTGGCTGCACCAGTTTGCATTCCCACCAGCAGTGCAAAAGAGATCCTGTTTCTCCGCATCCTTGCCAACATCTGTTGCCCGAGTTGTTAAATGTTAGCCATTCTGACAGGTGTGAGGTGGTATCTCATTGTGGTTTTGGTTTGTATTTCTCTGATGATGAGTGATGTTGAGCATTTTTTCATGTGTTGGTTGGCCATCTGGATGTCTTCTTTGGAGAAGTATCTGTTCATGTCTTTTGCCCATTTCTTCACTGGATTATTTGTGTTTTGGGTGTTGAGTTTGGTAAGTTCTTTATAGATTTCGGATACTAACCCTTTATCTGATATGTCATTTGCAAATATTTTCTCCCATTCCATTGGGTGCCTTTTAGTTTTGCTGATTGTTTCCTTTGCTGTGCAAAAGCTTTCTATTTTGATGGGGTCCCAATTCTTATTTTTGCTTTTGTTTCCCTTGCCTCCAGAGACGTGTTAAGAAGTTGCTGTGGGCAAGGTCAAGGAGGTCTTTGCCTGCTTTCTCCTGGAGGATTTTGATGGCTTCCTGTCTTACATTTAGGCCTTTCATACATTTTGTGTTTATTTTTGTGTATTGTGTAAGAAAGTGGTCCAGGTTCATTTTTCTGCATATCGCTGTCCAGTTTTCCCAGCACCATTTGCTGAAGAGACTGTCTTTATTCCATTGGATATTCTTTCCTGCTTTGTCAAAGATTAGTTGGCCATATGTTTGTGGGTCCATTTCTGGGTTCTCTATTCTGTTCCATTGATCTGGGTGCCTGTTTTTGTGCCAAACCTTCTTAATTTTTAAACCACATAAATGTATTATCTAGACAAAAATTTTGATTAAATATATGTAATTTACCCACAAGAAGCTAAGTCTATGCCTTCCCCAACTCTTCTCTGCCTCGCTGTCCTTCAAGGATCAGATCATATAGCACTTCCTCTATGTTGCCCCAACTTGTTCCTTGTAACACTAGTATACCACTTCTCACAGTTAGTTGGGTGTTTGTCTTCCCGGGAAGCTTAACTCCTTCAGAGGAAGAATGATTCATCTTTTTATCACCAGCTCCTATCACAATGTCAGGACTTAGGCACCTCAAGATACATTTAATTTTTAAAATATACCTCAGGGGCGCCTGGGTGGCGCAGTCGGTTAAGCGTCCAACTTCAGCCAGGTCACGATCTCGCGGTCCATGAGTTCGAGCCCCGCGTCGGGCTCTGGGCTGATGGCTCAGAGCCTGGAGCCTGTTTCCGATTCTGTGTCTCCCTCTCTCTCTGCCCCTCCCCCGTTCATGCTCTGTCTCTCTCTGTCCCAAAAATAAATAAACGTTGAAAAAAAAAATTTAAAATATACCTCAAGTGCATTGAATCAAATCAGTCATAATCCTTGTATCAAGGCACACACACTGCCTTTATTCTTCCATGGAAGAAATCTTTTAAAGTTTTTATTTATTTGTTTGTTTGAGAGTGAGAAAGAGAGAGAGAGAGAGAGAGAGAGAGAGAGAGAGAGAGAGAACGAGCCAGGAAGAGAGGCAGAGGGAGAGAATCCCAAGCAGGCTCCATACTCGACAGAGCCCATGTGGGGCTTGATGCCATGACCTCGGGATCATGACCTAAGCCGAAATCAAGAGTCAGATGCTCAACTGACTGAGCCACCTAGGGAACCCCCAAAATTTATTTTCTAATAATAGAGTCAATATCCATGAACCCATACCAAACTGAGAACTAGAACACTGACACTAAATTATATTTCTCTAGATGCTATCCCTTCCCTTTGCCTCTTTGAATCTAGACATAGAGCTTACAGCCTTCACAAAAATTAACTCGAAATGGATCACAGACAATACACTTGTCACCATCTTATCTGAAGGCTATATTAATTTTCCTCCTCTGCCATAAACTAGGCCACAGAAGTCTAGTCTAGTCTTGACATCTCCCAGAACTTTAGACTGGGCCACAATATTAATCTGATTGGATCTGATGAGAGAGCGGTAGCAAATATGGTAGATGCTTTAGTAATAAGACATGCAAGCCACAGGGCAGGATATAAACTCCCCCCACCCCAAAATAAGGCGCCTGCCACCTCAGTGGTTTCTGGAGG